AGCCTTGACTATCATAGATCACATTCTACTGTGGGAGACTAGCTGCCTCTTCTCAGGCTGACTGGAGACCCTGTGAAGTCAAAAGGGCAGCATGCCTGTCTCTGTATTTCTCATGACACATATCCAGGGTCTTATATATAAATGGTGCTCAAGATATTACTGATCTGAACCAAATTACTTTCTATTCATTAATATTTGGGGAGATTTGGGACTTTCAAGGCAGGGATTGGAAGTGAAGGGGGCCTGGAAGATGTTGATTCATAACAGACCCTTTGTTTATTAAGTTAAATGCATTGGAGGTGATATTGCTTGTCATTGGTGTCAGCAAGAAGAGCGGATCCACTGCCTACCCACTATTCCTCACAGGTGCCAGAGACTTGGAACACTGGCCTGGGTGAGCAGTGGCTCTGGCCTACAGCAGGCCAGGTGCTCGTACTTAATGTTGCATCAGCACTTAACAGGTGTTCTGTCCTTAAAGACCTAAAGCTGACAGAGCCCCTGTGATCATTTTAGTAGCAACTACTCATTTAGACTTGGTTCAACCAGGTCTGCTTATCTAACACACCATCTACCTAGAGTATAGACATCTGTTAGTATAATCTTTGCGTGGGCACACAGCTGGTGTGCCATACCTGACTGACTCTCAGAGCACAGGATAAGATTGATCATTTACCCTTTGCTGTTCTTATTTTTATCCAACCTACTAAGATCTGGAAGGATCTAGGATGTTCTGTGTTCAGGTTCTACTTTGTTACTCACCAAATCTGCTAGATGATTGTGAGTCTTTTACCTAGCTCTTACTTAGCACTGTTATCTATGTAAGTGCTTAGTAAAACTGAGTGCTAGTAACAGACCTTCTTCCTCAGGCATCCATCTTCCTTGACTTCCTGACACCACTTTCTGATGTTCCTTTGCTGGTTAGTTCTTTCCAGCCTCTATTCTGGGCTGTTCCTCCTCTGTCTACTCCAGGCTCTAACCCGGTCCAGATATCTGAAAATTCCCATTAGTTGTCCACGTAAAGTGTCTCACCATTAACTCCAGATTTAAACAAGAGAAGCTGTGTCACAACAGCTTATTTCCCTTTTCCTTCTCTACATAAGTGATTTTCATGATCCTATGCTAATGTTTCTGGCTCACTAGTCTTCATCCCTAGGAATGGAAAAGAAAAGGTTGATTCCTAGTCTGTAGCACCAGACATCCTAGGAAGGTAGTATGGAAAGAGCCAAAGGTGTTAGTATGTTTTTGTATGATTTCCCATCATTATTGACAAAAGTTTGATCTTTTTATCTGAGAAGTTGCTTTTCTGTAATCTTTTCAAGAACTAAAGCTTAAGTGACACTATTGTTGTATCTCCAGGGTTTCAGACTCTTCTGCAGGAGTTCAGCTACTATTTGTTGTCTTGGGTAAGGTATCTATACAACTTGGTTACCCCAGGACAGACTAGACTAATCTGCAACCTTGTTCTAATGCTCCATCCAGTTTATTTAGCATGCCCTTCATTCTCAAAGTGTCTCCTTTTATGCACAAATTATAGTTCTTTTAATTATAAGGGCATCTAAAGATGTGAGAATACTTAGTGTCCTTCCAAATTCATTTGCAGAAGTCATACCAACCAATATATCAGAGTGTTACTATATTTGGAGATAAGGCCTTTAACCAAGTGATTGACTTAAAGGGAGATGATTTATAGTCAGGCCTGGTGACTTATACCTGAGACCCCAGTACTTGTGAGGCAAAGGCATAAGAATTTTTGTTAAGTTTAAGACCATCCTACGTTGCAGAGTGAGACCCTTTCTGAACCACCTACCCCCAATAAAAGTTAAGTTTAAAATGAGGCCCCAGTCTAATCTGACAGTGTCCTTATAAAAAGAGGAAATTTAGACACACATAGCAACATTGTGGAAGAGCACATACCAAAGAAGGGTCATAAGAAGACACCGTGAGATGGCAGCTGTCACTAAGGCCTCAGAGGTCACCAACCTGCCAATACCCTGGCCTTCTATTTCAGCCTCTAGAACCATGAGAAAATAATTTCTGTTGTTTAATCACTCTGCTATATCATCCTTAGAAAACTAATGTATTTAATAAAGCATAATACAAAATGAACCCAGATAGTGTATTCTAAGTATTCCAGTCCTTCAAGGCAAAGGCCTTTACTATTTCCCAAGAAACCCACAGTTTTCTCTAGCATTTTTCTGCCTGCTTCTCTCACTGACCAGAGGTCATAGACTACATAGAATATAGCTGTTATCTCTCATATTTTTAAACATTCTAAAATATGTGAAGACTTATATATGACAAATTAATTCTGCACTCCCTTTTCAGTATTTTCTTACCTCAGGCTAAGCAACTTAGTCTGTCCAAGTTATCCACCAAACTTTTAAAACCAGTTCATGCACTGTCACTCACTAATCCACCAATGTACACACATAAATGCGCACACTTGCACAGTCATGCATGCACACACACTAATGCACAGATTTAGAGGACTTGTAAGCTTACCAAACATCTCTAAAACTTTATATATA